AAAGCTCTCGAGATGTGCTATAAGAATATGCAATGAAAAATGGGGTGTTCCATTTAAAAAAATTAATGTGACCTTGACCTGACCTTCGCTACGCAACCCAAGGTCAAACTGATGTGATCAGTAAATACATCCTTTTAAACGCCACAACTTTTGTCTGAAACATTTTTTTGTAAAACTTATATTTTTCCTGATATTCGGGCGTCCCGGTACTTTCCGAACACCCTGTATAACAAAAATTGGCGGAACTCCGTCGCTTTCCACTGACCATATTGTTCCAATTCTCGTGGTCTTCTTGCGAACTCTCGTGGAATAAAAGGTCTGATATCTAAAAGAAACTTAGAAATATTTTTTATTTTTTGAGATGATAAAAATCTTATTTTAAGAGGGCCACTTATTCATAATTTTACTATTTTTTTCATAACACCAATGCATATCAGATGCATGTAATCCAACGGGATCTGAGATATGATATGGAAATTCTGAATATCTAGCAATACAGAACGACCGAGATGATGCTCTTCTTGATCTTGGTTGCGAAAGCTGGCGTCAGTTCTCTTTTGCTAATTGAAATCGGGAAAACAAACTCGGTTTTCAATAAATTCGCCTTCGATTGTGCATTTAGAGCAGCTGAAATAGCCGGTATGGCCCTTAGTATAAGTAATGAAAGATTTTGCAGGTGCGTCGCATATGATAGAATGTATCGAGACTGAAAATATTTTGTCGTTATATGTTATGCCATGATCGATCAAAATGTTTATGTCATCAAATGCTTGCAAGAATTCATTCATCCGCTGGTTTATTTTTGCCAAAGTAACATCCAATAAAAAATACTTTGCCGTTTGGCATTACGCGACTTAAAATTGGCTACAACTAATTCGAATTTGATCGTGATATTGGCATACCGTCGATACCAATTTGAATCTTAATAGAAGACAGGGCAATACTCTTGGCTACGGACAGATATTGAATAACACCCTGTAACGAGTTGTCCGTGATATAAAGATAAGGAATCGCGAAAACGGTAAATTCAAATACACGAAACGACTCATCACGACTCATCACGAAACAGAACACGCGACAAACTAATGTAAACACCGCCGACCGATCGCGAATAACACAACACTAAAGCAGGCTAAAATTTGGTATAAAAGATCGCGCGAAAAGCCGAGAAAGGAAGCAGTCTTCCGAGGCACTCCGCTGAACAGAGCTCAGACTCCGACAGCA